GTGGGTGGGAGGCTGAAGGAATCTCCCCAAAATGTCGGATCCGGGCGACCCTCCTTCCCCCACCGCCCGCCCCGCAGTCCCTTCTCTGTCCTGGAGGCGGGGCCCCCAGCCACCACCTTCTGGAGACCGAGGCCCAGGATCGCAGCTTAGTCCCCGGCAGAGGTGAGGGCAGAGGTGAGGCTCAGGGCCTGGAGGCCTTGTGGGTGTCCTGGAGAGACCCTCGGGTGGGTGCTCAGGCCCCCTGTCCCAGCGGGGCCCCAGGGAGGTAGGCGTTGAGCGGAGGGGCCTTTGGAGGTGGGTCCTGGAGCCGGAGGGCCGGGCAGGGGCCGGAGCAGGTGCGAGGCTGGTGGTCACAGTTGGAGGCCAGGGGCTGTGGGGCGGGGAGAGCCCAGGTGAGGAGGTGGGAGGGCACCGACCCCACCGCGGCCCCAAAGGAGGGGACACAGAGCAGGGACAGGGGGTGCACAGACAGGAGAGATGCAGTGACCGAGAAAGAGGGAGATGAGACCCAGAAAGAGACGGAGAATGACAAGGAGACAGACAGGGTGGGACAGAAGGAGAGAGGAGAGAAAGGAGTCCGGTGGAATCACATAGGACAACGACAATGAGGGACATGGAGAGACAAGGAAGGGACAAAGGAGAGACCAAAAGGAGGGGGAGGACAGGGGCTCTGGGCGGTGGGGGGAGAAGCCCCGTCCCTCACTGCTGACCCCAGAAGTCACCAGACACACACTGGACCACGCCCCCCATGCTTGGCCATGGTGGAGCTGAGGCCCCACCGCCCCGGGTCAGGCCCTGGGCGCACCCGCCCACCTCTCCTGCCCAGGCTCAGCCGCGCCCCCTCCGTGCCTCAGCCCTGCCCAGGCCTCCGCTCTCACCTGCGAGGCCTTTCTGTTGGCCCTGAACCCATTACGCACCCGCCCGGCCTGGCTCCAGCCCCAGTCCTCCCCTGCTCTGTGTGCTGGGGGCTGCGGGCTGTCGCACAGCCAGATCTCCAAGTGCTGGGGCCTTCGCGGATGGGCTTCTCCTGTGAGACACCCCTCTCCCGCCCAACTCCTCCCATTCTCCTGGTCTCATCTCCAAAGGCCTCTCCTCCAGGCAGCCCTCCTTGAATCCTCCAGCCTGGGTCAGATGCCCCCTGTTCCAGGAAGCCCTCCCTGAACCACCCCCCCTAAAGCCCGGGTCCAACGTCCCCTCTGGGCTCTTGTCGCTGCTGGGCTTCCACATCCCAGCCCTGCCCACTCTGGGTCGCCCCTGCCTGGGGTTGGGCCTTTCTCGCCAGCTGGACTGTAAGCCCCACAGGGCTGGGGCTGTCATGGTCACTGTTGTGTCCCCAGCATCACCCAGCACAGGGCTGGGCACAGAGGGGCTCAGAAGTCGTCTATTAAATGAATGAATGGGTGGGTAGATGGATGGATGCTGAACTAAGGAGTTTGGACTTTGTCCAGAGGGCACTAGGGAGCCACAGAAGGGTTTAATCTAGGGAGAGTCAAGATCTGATCTGTGCTTTAGAAACTCCAGGCTGCCTCCCCACCCTGGGCCTTTGCACATGCTGTTCCCTCTGCTTTTCTGAGCAAGGTGGACCTGAACAAGTGACCTCTTCTCTCTGAGCCTCAGTCTTCTCATCTGTAAAATGAAAATAATAATAGTCTCTCTCTCTTGGGGTTGTTGTGAGGACTAAATGACAAGATGCTCTGACTCTCAGAGGAGAGTCTCAAGGCCTCGGAGAATAAAAGAATGACCCCCCACTTTACCCCCAATTCTGCCCAGTGGACTCCTATTCATCCTCCAGTGCCCCATCCAGAGGCCACTTCCTCTAGAAAGTCTTCCCTGAAACTTCAGCGATAGCTGATGACTCCCTCCTCTGGGTTTCAACTGTTGCACCAGATTGTCATTGGGGACGTCCATTTCCCTTAAGACCAGAATCTTCTCAAGAGCCAAACCCTACTTGAGGTATGTCAGGGCCTGGAGCAAGAGTTCAATGTATGTTTGGAAATGTATGGATGGGTGGGTGGGTGGGTGAATGGGTGGGTAAGCAGGGGGTGAATGCATGCACGAATGGGATGTGTGAGTAGGTAGGTGGGTGGGCGGGTGGACCAGTGTGGAGGTGGGTGGATGGGTGGGTAGATGTAAGTTCTGATGGATGGCGGGTGCTGGGTGGAGGGATGGTTGATGGATGGAGGGGTAGACGCATGGTTAGGTAGGGAGGTGGGTGGATGGGTGGGAGGTGGGTGGATGGATGAATGGAGTGAGGGGGTGAATGCATGGTTGGAGGGGTAGTGAGTGGGTAGGCGAGTGGATTACATTTGGATGGATGACTGATGGGTGGATAAATATATGGATGGTTGAGGGAGGGGACGGATGAACGGACAGACGGATGGATGGACAGGTGGGTGGATGGACTGGTGTACGGATGGACGAAACATCTTCCCTAGGAGAGCCCTCAGTTCGGGAACCCAAGCTGACCCTGCTCTGGGCGGGCCTACTATTGCAGTCGGAGGTCTTCTGGAGGTTTGAGAGTTGCATACCCCCAGACCTTGGGCACTCACACTTCTCCTGAATGCAGCCTCTATAGATAATGCCAGTCTCCTTCCAAGTTCAAATTCATCCCCACCGATCCTGGAAGACAAAATCGGAGGGTTGGCGGGTCTTCCCCAGACACCCCCAGAGGCCCCCTAAGTCCCCCTCGCCCCTTCCTTCACCAGGGGATCCCTCTACCAGGAGAGACTGAGTTGTGTTTTAAGAGGGTGCTAGCCCTTTAATAAACAGCGGCGGTTCCCAATGTGGTGGGCGGGGCCTGGAGAAGAGAGATTTGTAAGGAAAAGGCGGGGGCCGGGAATCTGCGTTGGCATCAGCTGCTCCCCTAGTACACGAACGACGACGCCCTGCGTCACTCTGGAACCCAACCTCAGGTGAGGCGCCTTTGTTTAAAGAAGGGCCCCGGCGCGGGGGCGGGGCTGGGCCCGGGGGCGGGGCTTACCCGGCGGCCGCACTGTCACGTGCGGCTGCGACTCGGCGTACCCCGCCAGGGGCTGGCCCTCCGGGCCGAAGGCGGCACCCTGCCCTGCGAGAAGGGTGGAGGGGTGCAGGCTGAGCCCCGGGAAGCCCGTTCCGGGCTTTGACGTCCCCCCGGGACCCCGGGCCCTCCCTCCCCACTCTGCCCGCACCTGTGCGGTTGGACTGGTCGATCATCGGCTGCACGATGCGTCTCCGGGCGTTGATGAACCTGGGGCCCGGCCGTGGAAACGCAGGGGTGCGGCGGGGAGGAGGAGAGAGGCGGAGGTGAACTCGGGGGCAGCCGGGGAGAGAGGAAGCGGCGCGAGGGGCAAGGCTCAGCGCGCTCCGGGGCCTCCGTCAGCACCGCGGACAGCGCCCGGCCTCCGCGCCGGCGGCCACGGAGCGCGCGACCCTCGGGGCGCTCACCAGTTGTTGACTTGCAGGATGGTGAGCCCCGTGTCCTGCGCCAGCTGTTTCTTCTGCTCCTCCGAGGGGTACGGGTGCTGCGGCCACCAGCAAGAGTCAGCCCGCCCGCCCGCGCCGTCCGATCCCGGAGGCCATGGCCCCAGGGATGGCGAGCCCAGGCCGGCCAGGGCCCCAGAGCCCCCGTGTGCGTCCGAGCGCCAGTGCTCTCCGCGACCCGGCGACGCGCAGCCAAGTTTCCTGCGGGCAATTACTCGCCCCCGGAGCCCCACCCCTTCCAGCAATTAGAGGCTAATTGGCCAGACGTCCTTAGGGAGCCGTGCTGGAGAGGGGGCCCCACCAGCTGGGGGAGGGAGGCAAAGCCCAGCCCTGTCCCTCTCTGAGTCTCTGTCAGAGTCCCTCTGTGTCTCTCCCTACCGATTCTTTCTCTGGGGCTCTCTGTCTCCCTTTCTCTCTCATGTCTCTGTCTCTGTCTCTGTCTCTTTCTCTTTGTGAGTCAGTCTCTCCCTGTCTCCGAGTCTCTGTTTTTCTGTCTCTGTCCCTCCGTGACTCAGTCTCTCCCTGTCTGTGTCTTGCTGTGTCTTCATCCTCCCCCATCTCTGTGTCTCTCCTGTTTCAGCCTCTCCCTGTCTCTATTTTTTGTCTCTCCCCACGAGGCCGTGTAGTGCAGTGGGTAAGGCCAGACTGCCTGCTTTTGAACCCATTTCTGGCTGTGTGGCCTTGGGCAATTCTCCTAACCTCTCTGTTCCTCAGTCTTCTCATCTGCACAGTGGAAATAATAATAGCCCTTCCCTCCCAGGGATGGTGGGTGGTGGGTGGGTGGATGATGGGTGAGTGGGCGAATGGGTGGGTGAGTGGTTTGTGGGAAGGACTGAGTGAGTTAAGAGCCCTTAGCAGCACCTGGCGCACAGGTAACGCTCGCTGATGCTTGCTCTCATTCCCCACCCCCATGAACATCTCTCCCAATATCCCCCCTGCATCAGTCCCCCATCTCTTGGTGTCTCTTGGGGGCTCAGTCTCTGGGGACCATCCTTCTCCATCTCTCTGTGCCCACCCTGTACCGGGGGCCACAGGGCTCTCACCGAGAGATGCTGGAACAACCAGGCTCTCATGATGTTGGTGGCCACCTTGGGGAAAATCCCTCTTTTCTTGTTCCGCCGCCGCTCCTGGTCCAACTCCTCGTCCTCTCCCCCAGAACTGGGAGAGGCCACACTTGTGTCCAGCCCGTCTCCTGAGGGGGGGACAGGCATGCTGTGTTGGGGACAGCGAGGAGTGGGGGACCAGAGAGCCCAGAACCCTCACCCTAGACACCACTCCACACCCCAGCTATCTGTGCCCCTCTGGAAGTCCTGCTTGTGATCTAACTTCAATCCTCTGGCCGACTCCCATGTTTCCCTTCCACCTCCCAAGCTTCTCACCTTGGTCACTGGAGTTGTCTCCGCTCTGGGAGGCCAGGCCGCCGCTGGATGGACCTGGGGTCCCCAAATGTACAGACCCACTATCCTCATGGTCTCTAATCCACGTATTATTCTAGAAAACAAGAGCTGGAAGTTAATGCCAAAGCTTGGGGGACATTGTAGCACAATGGCTGAGAGTATGGGCTCTGGAGCCAGGACTCCTAGAGGGAAAGCCTGTCCCTGCCTCTTTCCTGGCTGTGTGATCTTGGGCAAGTCACTTCACCTCTCTGTGCCTTCGTTTCCTCAACTGGAAAAGGGAAGACAGTAACAGCCTCCACCTTAGAGAGTGTGGTAGAGATTCAATGAGTTAGCTTACAGAAAGGCACACAGCAGTCGCTCAACACACATGAGCCTATGGCACTGTACCCGAAACCCTTGGGGCCAGAGGTGTTTCAGAATCCAGGACTATTCACATTTTTAGACAGTAAATCAGTGCATGCACCGTGCGGCTCACAGCCACCCTGAGCAGGGGCTGGGGCACAGTCTCATCGTCAGACTCATTAGCATTTCTGCAGCAACGCGGGTGAATAGTTAACCTAGTGCGATAAATAAAGGCTATAAATAGCCTCTCATTAGTTCAGGTCAGATTTTGCTGCCGAGTGAGTCTGCACTCAATTCATGAAAAAGAAAAATGCAAACTTTGAGTTTTCAGAGATTCTGGGGTCTCAGAATTGCGGGTAAGGGGGTCTGGGGTAAGGACCCCAGCACACTTTGAGTGACTTGAGAATGTGCTGAATTCGTGTCCCAGGGCAACCCGCCCACAAGCACTGCAACGCACAAGAACTGCTTCTTTGCAGTTCTCCCCCACCCGCCCTTCAGACCCTGGACAGCTGCCCAGGGTCGCTCAGCCCCAGGGTCGCCCACCACCCTGTTCACTGCCTCAACCCTGCCCGTCCCTCTGCGAACGGTCCCTCCCCAAACCACCCAGCGTGGGTGCACCCTGTGTTTCCCGCTGGGGAGTTCTGTCCGGGCTCAATGTGTCTGTGCAGAATTGTGCGTTTCAACGCATTTGGGGATGGGTTGGGTGCGGCTGCCGAACTGCTCAGGTCTGAAGACTCGTGAGCACAATCGTGGCTGTCACCCGGAGCTGTTAGGGTGCTGCGCCTGATCGCAGGCTGCAGGCGAGTGCACCGAGTTGATGTCCCGAAGCTGTTCTGACACTTTCGTGTGGCACGTAAGTGACACGGCTTGTCTCAGCATGAGTGTACCTACATCCCTGCAGTTGTATCCATAGATCCCAGGACGGCATGGCTGTCCCCAAAGAGGACGTGGCTGTGGCATGGTGGTTCCAGGGGTGTAGCTGAGAAATGCAGTTGCATTTGAGCGTGGTTATGTCTTCCTCTGCCACCCCTGGATGGCTGTGTGTGACACTGATTATCACAGGGGCTGTATGACTGCAGCCTGAGGGCTTTGTTGTCCTGTTCACGAGACTGCACGTGGTGACTGTGACTCCCGCACAAGTGACTGTATGACTCCGGGACTGTCTGGGTGGGTTGGCCTGTTGGGTGATTGTCATGCGAGTGTACCTGAGATTGCGTGAAGACCTCTGAATATGAGCCTCTGAGTGAGTTGTCACCGATTATCGCACACAGGGGGTCCTCGCTGAGCATGTGCATATTATGGGTTGTGAGGCAGAGGGCCCTTGAGGCCATTCTGTGACTGCCGTGAGCCTGTATCTGACTCTGCGTCCTGTCGTGTCATTGCGGGGGTCCTCGTGTGACTTCTCCCCAAGGCTTTGCCACGCTATCTCTCTGCATGGCTGTGGCAATTCGGGATCCGCATGGCTGTCATGTGTGTGACTGTTGTCTGGTGTCCTAAGCCAATAAAGTCGTAGTACGGCTGTGTCTGCAGCAGGGCCACTTTAGCTCCTTGCTTCGCTAGGTGTGACTCTGTGTGGCTGGATCCAAGCCTGCGAGTCTGTTTCCAAATCTGCACAGATGAGTCTGGGGCCATGTGGCTCTCAGTGGCATACGCAGGTGGTCAGGGTCGTGTGTGTGCATGCGTGTGTGTGCAAGGGCCCTGTGGTCAGTCTGAGTCCCAGCGTCTGGCTGTACCCGAGCCTGTGTGCAATTGGCGTGTGACCACGTGCATATGCGGCATGGTGGCTCCGTCTGAGGCTGTGCGGTGAGTGTGTGCCCTCACGCTGTGCGGGGCCCACCTGGTCCGGGAGGCTGGGGCAGGAGGCCGGGTAGTCCTCGAGATCCTCCCTGTAGCCGCCATCCCGATCCTCAATGACCAGGTCGATGGGCATCTTTCCCTTGAGGCAGGTGATGTAGCGGTGACAGAAGTTGTCGCACAGGTCGTGGACCTGGGGGGGCACCGGGGTACTGGGGGGGCCACCCGGGGGCCAGGGCTGGGTGCACAGGGGTGGGGTGGGGAGAGAGCCTGGGGGAGGGGGAGGCACGAGGGGCACGAGGGGCGTGGGGCGGAGTGGGAGCGCTCACCTTCTCTAGCTCGAGCAGGTGGAACCGGAGCACCTGGATGGCCTGGATCATCTGCAAGCGGGGACAGGAAGGGACCGCAGGTGGGGGTGAGACAGGGAGGAGGAGGAGGAGGAGTTGGGGAAGGAGAGGAAAGGAGAGACAGAGAAACAGGAAGAGTGAGACAGAATCACAGGGACAGACAGACAGACAGAGAAACAGAACAGAGACAGAGACCAGAATTAAGGAAAGGAGAGGTGTTAGATTGAGAGATAGTGACAAGGAAAGAAGCAAAAGACAGAGGGGCCTGTCACAAGACGCGTGAGCTAAGGTGGGCTCCAGTGATACGTGCACCCACCTTGACCCGCGCCCCAGCCCCAGCCCACTCTCCACCTGCAAACTACATTTCCCAGAGCCCTTTGCCAAAGGGTATGGCCAATAGGAGCCCTGGGGGGACCTGGGGCGCCAAGGACAGGAGAGGCTGGGCTACTTCTCCCTCCCTTCTTCTCTCCTCCCTCCCCTCCCCTCCCCTCTCCCACTGGTTTTGGTGGGAGTCCCACCCCGTGCCAGGCGCTGTTCTAAGCACTTGACTCGCATTAACTCATTCAACCCCATGGCAGCCCTACTGGATAGAAGTTACTAGCAGCAGCACTGTACAGATGGGGACACCATGGCACTGAGAGGTGGAGCCACTTGCCCTGGGTCACAGAGCTAGTGACGGCTGCCGCACTCACAGGGGCAACAGGATCTCGGTTTGAGAAGGTGGCCCAGGCACCTCCTCTCTGCACCCCCAACCAACCCCAGGGATACAGCAGGCGGGACGGGAGACTCCATGCCGGAGGGGGTCCCCCGGAGGGCCCAGGTCTCACCAGATTGTCCAGCTCTGGGTTGGAGGAGAAGAGGGGCCTCTCAGAGCGGACCTGGGGGGCAAGAGAGAGGCCAGTGGGGCACAGCCTGCCTCCGTCCCGCCCCTCCTCGCGGGCGCCCCGGGTGTGGCGGATGGGGGTGCCCACCTGCTTGGCAAAGGCAGCGATGTCCTCGTTGAAGGAATCGGAGGAGCAGACGTCGCTGCCCAGGGGCGTGCCCAGCCCAGCCCCGGCCCCATCTCGAGGGGAGCATGTGGCCAGTTCGCATTTCTCAAAGACCAGCGCCAGGAGGGGGAAGAGCGGGTGTCTGGGGAGGAGGAGAGGAGAGAGCTCACGAGGGGACGGGAGGGGAGTGCTGCAGGGGGTGGAGCAACTGGGAGGGGACAGAGACCCAGGAGGAGAAGAGACAGAGACAGGGAGAGACAACAGGGAAAGGCAGCTTTGGAGAAAGAAGAAGCCAGAGATCCAGCCCAGACCACGTGGAGCCCCCAGCCGCCACTCACCCGTAGATCTCATCCTTCTCCCTCTTCAGGCTGTCACTGTCCAGGGCTGGGGGCAGGGGCTGGGGAGGCCGCTGTGGGCCGTAGGGCCCAGGCGCTCTCGGTGTTGAGGCCACTGCCTCCGAGAAGCCGGCCAGGGCTGCGGTGCCGTCCACGATGCCTGGGTAGTGGGGCAGCTCATCGTACTGGGGGAGACGACACAGGGAGAGCCCAGGGGAGGTGTCAGGAGACTCAGATGTGCAGCTGAGGAGCCTCCCTATCCTGGGACCCAGGAAATGTCCCCCTGTGTCCCAGGAAGCCGCCTTCTGGTCCCCTAGTGTCTGAGCCCCGACTCCTGGAAGCTCCCCGTATCTCACGGAGCTGTCTGGGTGGGCCTGAGGACTGAAAAACGTCCCGTCAGAGACTCCTGACATGTGGGCGGGAGGACCCAGAGGGAGAGAGGCAGGGTGGGCGGGGAGGGAAGAGGGTCGGCAGAGGGTGGGAGAAGGGAGGGGCAGGGACAGCGGAGGGAGCGGGGAGGGGCAGGGGCCTCCCGCGGAAAGGCGCTGTTTGTACACAAAGGCACACTTCCATACCCAGCCTCCCCACTTCCGTTTCATTCTGCAATTGTCAAAAATGCACAACTGAGTGTGTCTTAACAACTTGTCACCCCCGTTGGCCACATGAATCCACCACACACGTGTACACGCACAGACGAACACGCCAACCCACGTGCACACTCAAGTGTGTCAGTCACCCCCCCACGTGTACACACACTTTGGAGCACACACGCAGCCTTAGGGAACCCCCCAATCACCAGAGACACCCCCTCGCGCGCACACACAGAGCCAAACACCAGGCACCGGGATGAATGAATGAATGATTGAGACGCTCAGCGCACGAATGAACGAATGAACGAGGCAGTCGGCACAGTGCCTGGCTCACAGTCCGCAAACGCTTGTTGGAGGAAGGACAACTCCATGGGACCACACGAACACACTTGTGCACGCAGCCCAGAAGACACGCAGGAGCAGGGGGAGAGATTTGCATGTCCCATTGTCACACAACCTCGCACCCGGAAGCCAGAGGGACCTTTCAGTCACCAGGGCAAACCCTCTCTTGGCGATGAAGACACCGAGGCTCGAAGAGGCGCAGGAGCCTTGCTGCCTCCACCGGCCGCGGCGGCTCCGCCTGCGTGTCCCGCTGGCTCCCGCTCCCCCCTCCACTTCCTCTTCTCCTAACTTCTCCTGAGCCCTGAAGTTGAATGCGACCGCCCCCGCGCTGTCCCTCGCACGCCCACCCGGTGGGTCCTCACACTCTGCCCAGCCCCTGCCCCGCCCTCCCAAAGTGGGTGCCTCCCCCCTGCCTCCTCTGCCTCCTCCCTCCTCTCCCTCCCGGACAGAGCAGAGAAGCCCTCGGCCGGCGGCGGGTGAGACCCTCTGGCAGCGCGTCCCCGCCGCTAACCCTTAGGGCGAGGGGCCTGGAACAAAAGTAGACCCGGGAAGGACGGGGGCGGGCAGGGAAGGAAGGGGACGGTGGGAGGCAGAGATAAAGGGCCCGGGATGGAGCGGCCGAGGGACACGGAGAAGGGGGAGGGGCGACCCAGGGGCACAGAGGGGGAACAGCAGGGGGGTACCTAGAGGCAGGGAGGGGACACTTAGGGGCCAAGAGGGAGGACAGAGGGAAGAGAGGAGACCAGGGAGGGGAGGAGAGGCAGAGAAAGACGGTGGAGAGGGTGGATGGGCCCATGCGGCCGGAGCCCCCGGGACGGGGAGACAGAGGGAGGGGGGACGCGAAACAGGCTGGGGCCCGGGGGTCCCGCCCTCAGACCTACCCTCCGGGCCATGGGCTGACGCCGGCGGCAGCGGCGGGGTCCTTCCAGAGCCTGGCCGGCCAGGGGGGCGCAGGCAGGGGCAGCCCCCGGACGGCCGGGCTGCGGCCGCCAGGGGGTGGGCAGGAGGCTGGGCGCCCGCCCCCAGCCCCAGCGCCGTCAGAGGCAGGCGCCGGGCGGAGAGCAGGCTGCGAGCATGGACCCCAGCCCGTCCCCCGCGGGGGTCACGGCCGGGCGCTCATCGCCGCGGGGGAGGGTCGCCCGAGGCCCCTCCCCGGGGCCCCCAGTGTGTCCCCCCGGCCCGCGGCGAACCGAACCGGCCCGAGGCAGACGGACCGGGAGGCGCAGAGCCGAGGGCGCGGGGCGCGGGGCCGGCGTCGGGGCCGGAGGGTGCGCGGCTCGTCGCCGCCTCCCCCTCCCCGCGTCTCCCCGGCTCTGTGGTCACATCCGGAAGTTCCACGGCGGAGACGCTTAACCCGCTGTCCGCCGGTGGCTCGGCCGGGGGCGGGGCGGGGCGCGAGCCTCGGAGCCCCTCCCCCGCCCTCCCGCCGCTTTTGTGCGGGGTCGCGCGGCCCCGCCCCGCGCCCCGCCCGCCGCGCTCCCTGCGGTCGCTGTCCCCGCTCCCGCCCCGGGGCGCCTCTGCCTCTGTCCCCTCCGCGCCGCGGGCCTCGCCTCGCCCCTCCTCCGCCTCTGCCTGTCGCCCCGACTCCGGGTCTCGGTTCTCTCCCCCTCCCCTCCCCCTCCCTGCCCCTCTTCTCCCCCCTCCTGTGAGACAGAACCCGAGGAGAACCCGCCCCAGGAGGAAGCAAACGCTCATATTTTGGTTTCTCTTGTCGCTCCGGCCCTTCCCCTCCCTCTCCGGGAGACAATGACTCCTGGGCCTGTGTCTGTGGCCATCCGTGCCCGCGCGTGTGTCCCCGGCGGTGTCAGAGTGTGTGCCTGGCGGCTGGGCCATGCCTGGGGGCGTGTGTTGTTTCTGTCTCTGAACATGGGGGTACTGGACGGTGTGTGCGTGTGCCTCTGCCTCCCTCCGTCCATCGTTGGCCCTGCCTTTCAGCAGGTCCTTAGCCTGAAGTCCCCTCAACTGCTGTCAGGGACTTTGCTGAATCCCCGGAACTTGAGGGTAAATGTCGTGTATGTGTCGGAGAGACGGTCCACAGCTTTCACCCCGTCCTTAAGACGAGCTTTGACACCGCATTCTAATGAGATCAAGAAACAGATTTGTGCAACACAACTCATTGAGCACCTACTATGTGCCAGGTGATGTTCTGGGGACAGAGCAGGGAGCAAAAGACAAACTTCTTGGCCTCATGGTGCTCACATTCCGTGGGGGAGGAGGAGGGCAGAGACTAGTCAAGTGAATAAATGTATAAATATCAAATAATGCCCGGAGGTGGAGTGCTCTGAGACAGAGCAGTATGGGGGGCAGGGGGACGGTTTATATAGACAGGGAAAGCTCTTGGAGGAGGTGACATCTGAGCATTGCAGATCATTCCTGGCAGGGGGACAGCAGGTGCAAAGGCCCTGGGACATGAGTGTGGGAGCGTGCCTGGTGTGTGCAAGAAACATCTGAGAGGCCAGCGAGGGAGGGGTGAGGGGAGAAGAGAGAGATGCCTGGGATTCATTCTCTCTGTGACATTTTCTACATTAGGGGTCTTTATCTCCTGGTGTCCTCAGATTCCTGAAGGGGTGAACAAATGGGTGTCAGGAGACCTTTGAACCTCTAAAATTGCATGGGAAATCGTGGACGTGGTGCTGATGTGTTTTTCCCCATGGAGGCGGCCCACAGCGCCTATCCTGTTCTCACAAAGGGATCCTTGACCCCCCAAAAGTTATAAACCATCACTACAGAGGAATATCACCAAAGACAAAAAGAGAGAGAGAGAGAGAGAGAGATGGAGGTGGGGTGGGGGGGGTGCAGAGACCCAGGGACAGAGGGGGACAGATACAGACAGAAAAAGACAGACCCAGAGGAAGGGGGACAAAGACCCCGGGAGAGGGGATGGGGACACAGAGAGCAGGGATCTGAGAGGGGCTGGAGGCCTGAGCACCCCTGCTGGGCTCGCAGAGGATGTTTTCCGACTGTCATAAGCAGGCTAAGCCTGCTGGGACCTGCTTCTCCTCCCTTCCTGTCTTGTGGAAATTAAACAAAACCACCAAGTCCCAAGGCAAGGGGGAGCTGGAGCAAGCCGGGGGGAGCTACAGCATCAGGCATTGGGTCAGGGCAGCGGCAGCACTTTCTGGCAGGAGAAGGTCAGCTGGAAGGCTGTGGGGGTAGGAGAGGAAGAGACGGAGGCCCTGGTGCCTCCCAAGCCCCTTGGAAGGCCTCCTCCTCTCCCACCTAGGGCTCAGCTCCTGCTCTGAGTTCCTCAGTCTCACTCTGTCCCTGTCTCTGTCTCTCTCTTCCTTTCGTTCTCTCTCCTGTCCTTTCTCCCTCTCCCCCCACCCCCCGCCCGTGCCTCTTTCTCCTCTGACACCCTGGACACACCGCTGACCCTTGTCCCTGGCCATGTCCAGGAGTCCCTTGGGAATCTGGAGTCTGGACCCGGCTCAGACAGGTCCTTCCCTTTCTGAGCCTCGATGTCCCCATCTGCAGGATGGCCAATGAGCTTGGGGTGGGGGCCGTATGCGGCTAAGGGGGAAACTGTTAAACTGGAGGGTGCCAGGACCCCAGCATCCTTGGCTGAGTCTGGGGTCCCACATCAATCGGCACTCCCCCCTACGACTGTCCCACAGTGATGCTGGCCCTTTAAGGCAGGGGAGGGGAAGGGGTCTGGAGAGCCTTTAATCACTGCCACGTACACACGCCCCCCCAAGATCGGAGTTTTGGAGCAGAAAATTAATTTAAATCACTTTTACATTAAAGATGCAAAGCTCTTCAGTCTGCCCCACCCCCGCCCCGCCCTCAGCCCAGAATCAGGGTGGAGGACCCAGGGCCGGGGTCCCTGCCTCAATTTGCATCTTAAGGGGGGTGTAGGCTGAAGTCCCCTTTGCCTGGGCTGAAGCTGATTCTAAAACCAGAAGTGTGGCCAGATCTGAGTGTCCCAGTGGGGGGTGAGTGGACCGAGCTGGGAGGGGCGTGAGTCCGGTGAGGGGGTATGGCTGGGAGAAAGGCAAGGTGGAGGGCGGAGAGGGACGCGGAGAGGGGAGCGGTGCTGCGTTATAGGGGAGACAGGCAGGAGGGGACAGGCAGGGATGGTCGCACACACAGAGACTCTAGAGTTGTTCCTGCCGTCTGTCATCCGTCGCTGTGAGCTCAGAAGGCCCCTCGAGCCCCCTAAACAAGAGCAGGGGCTTGGACTCTTGGCATAAATCTTTTTAATTAAAGAAAGGAATGAGATGTTGGGAAGCGAAAAAACAAGAGTGTCTGGGGGAGCTGGGGACAGAGGGAGGAGGAAAGGGGAGGTGCTCTGGCTTCCCCCTCCCCAGTCTGTCTGTCTGTCTGTCTCTAGCACACGCTCCTCAGCCCGCTCCCAGGGCAGGGAGCAGGTGGTGGCCGGCCTCGTCCTGGAGGGGTCCCAGTGTCTCTGCTGCGCGTCTGTGAGGGTGGAGTTTGGCCCTGTCTGCAGGTGTCAGGAGTGTCTTCACTGTGCGTCCGCGAATGTCCAGGTGTGCCCCTCGGAGTGGGGGGACTCCCGGCCCCCATTTTACATATGGGAAGAACCCAAGGCCACATCCGCCCATGGAGCCCTCTGTGAGTAGATCTGGGGGACCCCCTGGGTCCCCGCGACACAGCTGGGGCAACCTCTCCTGGCCTGGCCAGGACCCTCCGGCTCCCGCGCAGTCCCCACTCCCTGGCCCCTCTCTGAGCACAGACCACTGGGACAGCAGCCACGACCCCCAGGTATCCCCGGCGGTTCCCAGGTCGAGGTTTCCAAGGCTGCAGGAACGGGCTGCGCGAGCAATCACCTGCTCGGGGTGCCTCCTGTCTTCTCGCTTGGTCCCACTGGCTCCCTGCCTCAGTTTCCCCTCTTTGTCAACAGCCCTGTGTCTGTCTCTCTCCCTGCTTCCAGGGGGGCGCAGACTTTGTGCCTCCTCCCTCCCTCCTAGACTC